CCCCACATTCTATGTCACTGTACAGAAAACATGTCTCAGGCCTGAACCCGAGAGTCATGCTGCAGCCACCACATTTGTGCAGATTGACATTTTGGTAAATATCTCCAATTTCTTCAGCGATGAGGGTAGGGGGAGGAGAGAAGGGCATGCTTAAAATAATAGCATTTTCCGACTTTAAAAACAAGTTGGGATTCAAAATTTGGGGCCTCTAATATTTTCTGATTTGACCTTTGTGCAGGGGGGAAAAAAGTTTTCACTCATCCCTGCCCTAAATAGCACACACCGTGCTTCCTGTCAACACAGAAGGCAGTGTGAACAGACCCGAGGAGCTCATTAGCCTGAGGAATGGAAACGGGCTTTGCTAAAGAGTTTATCTAAATGTCCGGCTCCCAGCTTCAAGTGAGTCCTTTAAGAAAATGAGTGAGGAGAACCGGGATAGACTATTCCAACTGGGGTTACCGTCTGGGCCCCGGGGACTCTGTAAGGTTCTCTTTCATGTTCCGCCCCAGCTAAATTCTGAGCACAGCGGAGGGGTGGATGGCGCTTTGCAGGGCCCGCCTGGCGCGGTCCTAGCCTCCGGGGCTGGAGAGGGGCCAGCCCCGCCCGCTGGACCCGGCGCTGCGGCGTCTTCAGGTCCACGCCCACCAGGATGTTTTACATGTTTTAATTAAAGTGCCGCCGGGCTGGCTCTAGTCCGAGCAGCAGGGCGGCAGCGGCCTGAGACTCGGAGTCCGGCGCGTGCTCTGGGTTTGGCTCCCGCCCCTGGGGGCGGCGCCCCTGGGGCTCCAAGAGGGGAGGCGGGCAGTGGGCAGGTGGCCGGCGCACCCAGGGGTGGCCAGGGCAAGGCTCGGGGATGGGGGGAAGAGTCTGGGGAGGAAAGCGCCGCGGACAGTTATCGCGGCCCAGCTGGCTGGTGGGCTGCGGCGGGCGATTCTTGCACACGGCGCCGTGGACCCACTCCTTATCAGTGTCAAATTATGACAAATGGCGACGGGTAAAAGTTGCTGGGTGGCAGCTGCCGCCTCTCCGAGAGGAGCAGGTATTTTTAGCGCTGCGCCTTGGGGCTCTGGCTCTGGGTTAATTAATCATGGTGAACAGCACCGAGTCTGGTTCCTGATCTTGGTCCCACCCCCATCCCAGCCTTGTCCCCATTGCCCAGACTGGAATACCAGCCGCAAGGTAGCAGTCATGCACGGCCAGGGGAGCCCCTGACAGCCTCCCAGTGCCCTGGGGACACCTTCCCGTGTCTGCCCCTGGCTGGGGCCCTGTACTTTCCAGCAGGACTGTGCCTGGGCCCAGCGGCTCCCACCCCTGGAAACTCTCAAACATGCTGCTCCGGAGCCCCCCACCACACCGGTCACATCTGATCCTCAGGGCTGGAGCCTGCATCTCGCGGGGTTAATACCCCGCTTTGTCCTCCCATTTTTCTGAGATGCTGCCGAAATAGACCAGGGGCAGGGAAACCCTAATGACGCTGGCCTTGGGAGGTCTGGCCAGGAGATGTCAGAGTCCCTTCCTCTTGACGCCACGAAGGGGACCAATAGATTTGCCCACTTTCTGAGGGTTTGCGGAAGGAAGTTCTGAGGCAAGCCCAGGTCTGTATTGTAAAGCTTCTAGGAGGAGAGCACCCAGAGCATGTCACATTGAGTCGGCCCTGCTGAGGGCTCCCCGAAGGTTCAGGGGCTCCCGGGCCTGGGGTCTTCTGCTGACAGAGCAAGCGTTTGCTCCCGACCTCCGCTGAGGCTCGCATGGAAACACGGTCCTCCCCGCCAGCTCTGCGTGCAGAGAGATGAACTGAGACCTCGTGAAAAAGCACCAGGGAAGTTGAACAAATGCTGTCCTTTCTTAACCCTTACTACTTTTCTTTCACAGCACTCGTTATGACTTCTACCATTCCCTGTGGGAGACAAAGAGGCAGAGCATCCGAGTCAGAGAGAAAGACAGACAAACAGAAAAACACTCAGGCCAGAAGACAGACACATACTTCCTGTCACTGAGTCAAGAAATATGTATTGAGAACCTGCTATGTGCCTGACCTGCACACACGCCCCCTAATTAATGCACCAGGAGACCACAGCCTGTTACATCATCTCCCCAGGCCCCCATCTGGGTCTTGTTGCTGTTATTGTTCAGTCATTCGACTCTTTGGGACCCCATTGACTGCAGCTCGCCAGGTTTCCTTGTCCTTCACCATCTCCTGGAGCTTGCTCAAACTCATGTCCATTGAGTCGGTGATGCCATTCAACTATCACATCCTCTGTCGTCCCCTTCTCCTCCCGCCTTCAATCTTTCCCAGCATCAGGATCTTTTCCAACAGGTCAACTCCTCGCATCAGGTGGCCAAAGTACTTCAGCTTCAGCATCAGTCCTTCCAATGAATATTCAGGGTTGATTTCCTCTAGGATGGGCTGGTTTGATTTCCTTGAAGTCCAAGGGACTCTCAAGAGTCTTCTCCAGCTGGAGCTCAAATCAGGACAGGGAGGCCTGGCGTGCTGCAGTCCATGGGGTCGCAGAGTCGGACACGACTGAGCAACAACCACCAGCACCGCAGTTTGAAGGCATCAGTTCTTCGGCGCTCAGCCTTTTTTATTGTCCAGCTCTCACATCCCTACATGACTACTGGAAAAACAGCTCTGACTATACAGACCTTTGTAGACAAAGTAGTGTCTCTGCTTTTCAGTAATGTCTCTGGGTCTCAGGTAGCAAATAAGAGAGGTGCTGTTTCTGCTCAGGCCAGTAGGTGTCATCATGTCAGAGCTAAACCAGGGGCGCTGCAGGGTTTGACGGACATCTCGGAGCAGAAATTCTGTTTCATCTCGTTTCTGAGAGCCATTACGTGCAGCTGCAGCAGGCGGGGCACACAGTGATAGATGTGCAGCCTCTGTCCTGTGATTTACTGCACCGTCAGGGGCCTGGAGGGACAAGCTCACAGAATGAGCAGGGGTCTGTAACAGGCTGGAAAAGTTTAAAGGAAGGACCGTGTGGGTCTTAGCACATCAGAAACTTCACATTACATCAGAGGGAACAGGTTCAGAGAGGAGGGCTGCCTGACCTATGCTCACACCGCAAGTCCAGACTCCAGGTTGCCTGGCTCCTAGAGCAGGGCCCTTTCTTCTATACATTGTGTATCAATAACTGGTGCTGCCTGATCCTGAGACTCAAAATTCCACCTTAGTTTAGCCATGAACCTCCCTACGAAGTGCCGCCTCTGATACCTACTGCCAGACTCTTGATGGATCCGTCTTCCTCCTGGAGAAGGCCCATGCCCTCCTCACAGGTCCTGTGGTACAGGAGTTGTCTCACTCGCACACACTCATGAAGGATCCCTGTATGCATCTCTTTCAAAAGACATCATGCAGGTAACTCGGAACCAGTCTCGTCAGCAACAGCTATAAATCAGAAATCAGCAACAACTATAAATTAAAGTTTTTTGTTTTGTTTTTTTCCTCCCAGAGAGCACCCCCCCCCACCCCCACTAACCTGCACACCACTGAATTAGTATCCCCACTTTATAGATGAGGAAACTGAGGCCCAGGGAGATGAGGCAACACACAAAGATACGCAGCTTACTGTAGGTGGCGGAGTTGAGACCGCCAACCCAGGGGATGTGATGCTGGAGCATGTAGAGATGGCAGTGCCAATAGAGCTCAGAGTCACTTGGACGTGGAGGGGTGCGGGTTTCTCAAGTGGGCCCTGATGAGGGGGCTGCCCTGGGCTAGTCTCATCAGCCTGACGGCAACACTGGAACAGGAACCATTTTGGGTTAAACGATCTTAGTCCAGCTTTGGGTGGGCTGAATTTGACGCAGGCTGTTGGAAAGAAGGAGAGGCCAGGTGAGAAGTCTGGGCAAGAGACTGAGGTCTGCCAGACGGAGGGTTCTTCTTGACCAAACCAGTGTCCTTTCTTACAATCGACGGGTCAGAAGTGGGAGGTTCACCTGTCTATATGTTTTTCCTCATCTTTGTCTGCATTCAGGCAGGATCTGGCAGGGCAGGGACGGGGGGCCATGCGCCCTGGCTCCCACACATTCCCTGGTCCAGGGGGGCACAAAAGGGCCTTGCTGAGTGAATGAATGAGTGACCAATTTTATCCTGAATCAGCTCTGCTGAGGACCACCCATCAAAACCTGAGTATACCTCGAAGATTCTTGAGAATTCTGCCATCACTATAGGAGTATGGACTTGGAATCAGAAATTATTTTTCTAGCGATTATATTAAGTGAAGTAAATCAGAGGACAGGTATCACATGATATCACTTCTATGTGGAATTTAAGGACTTCCCTCAGACGGTAAAGAATCTACCTGAAATGCAAGAGACTCAGATTCGATCCCTAGGCTGGGAAGATCCCCTGGAGAAGGGAATGGCAACCCATCCCAGTATTCTTGCCTAGAGAATTCTAGGGACAGAGTAGCCCGGTGGGCTACAACCCATCGAGTCACAAAGAGTAGGGCACAATTGACTGACTAACATACACACACATATGTGGAATCTAAAAAAGGACACAAATGACCTTATTTACAGAACGGTAATAGAGTCACAGACATAGAAAACAAACTTAATGGTTAGCACAGGCGATGGTGGGGAAGGAGGAGATAAATTAAGAGCTTGGGATTAACACATATATACTATAATATATAAAATAGGAAAACAATAAGGACCTACTGCACAGCACAAGGAACCACATTCAAGATCTCATAATAATGTATTATAATGGAAAAAAATCTGAAAAAAATGTGTAGCTGAGTCACTTTGCTGCACACCTGAAACTAACATAATATAAAATAATCATACTTCCATTAAAAAACTTTCTTTCTTTTTTTTTTTTAGCATTTTAGGGCTAGAAGTGAGATTAAGTATCATCTCTTACAACGTCCTTGCTTCACTAGTGAAGCCCAGAGACCCTTCTGAGACCACCCAGGTCCCTTGCTGTGTAGGAGCGTACCCGCCTGGCCTCCCTCCAATCAGCTTACTTTACTGCCCCGGGCCTCTGTGTGTCCCAGGACAAGACAAGAACAGATGGAGCTCCGGTTCCGGAAGGGCAATGAGTTGATGAAGATCCGTATCTCCGGGGGCACAACTAAATACTTCTTGGGTAGATGAGCAAAGCCCAGGATAACCAAGCCAGGAGGCTACAATATGCAAATGAGTGGATTGCGGCGTTCCTCCTGATTGGCTGGAGGGGCCCTTATGTCACAATAGGTGGCGTTTCTCCATTCCAAAAGATTGTGTCTCCGGCCAAAAGAAGAAAGAAAAAAAAAAAAAAAATCGCTGACCTGGCTAGACCCTAGCTCCCTCTCTTTGTCCAGACGGAGGCGGCACCATGGAGCCCCTCTATCAGTCCGGGTCCATTCTGATGAAGGTGAACACCTTACACGGGAAGAAGATGGTGGAGAGCGGCCTCCAGTCTGGGGATTTCTCTCTGCCCGCGTCTTGGTCCTCCAGCCTCCTGCCGCCGGCCGACCTCGAGCTCCTGCAGCAGAAGGTGGCCGGGATGCAGCGCGAGCTGGAGGACTTCAAGAAGGAGGCACTCAGGGCCATCCACTGCCTGGAAGACGCCTTCTGCGAGATGAACGGGGCCCTGGTGCAGCAGGGGGAGCAGGCGGCCCGCGTGAAGCAGCGGCTGCGGGAGGAGGAGGACCGGGGCGTCGTGCGGAACAAGGTCCTCACCTTCCTGCTGCCCCGGGAGAAGCAGCTCCGGGAGCACTGCAAGCGGCTCGAGTTCCTGCTGCTGGGCCGGGGCCGCCACCCGCAGAGCATCCCCGGGAAGATGCAGGCCAACTGAGGCCCCTCCGCGACGAGCCGCCGAGCAGCCCAGTGGCAGATGCTTTTAGCTGGAAGGACACATCCCGAGTCCTGGTCCGTTTGCTCCCCTCCCTCACCCCTCTCTGCGGCTTTCCTTCTGCCTAAATAACACCTTGCTGAGAGGCGAACAGACCCGTTATGTTCTTTCAGTGAAGCTGTCTATCCAGTAGCACCCAAGAAAGAGGCGCCCCAACCCTAAGTCGTTGGAAGACACCTGTAACTTCCCCCCTTCAACTGTTTTCCTCTTTGTAATGGTACTACTGCTCAAATGTATAACATGTTTTTTTTTTTTTTTAACCTTCTTAAACTGACTCTGTGGAACAGATGTAACTTCTTTTAATGACTGCAGGCTCCGTGGCTTGTTAATTCACCCACTGTCTGTTGAGAGTGCTAGGTTGTCCGCTGAGCACGAAGTGGCCTCAGGTTACTTCTGTGTTTCTTATCCTCACCCAGCTGGCTTTCCTGCCTGCTTTCACGGTCAGACCGTCCTGTATCCCTTTGCAGCCTTGCCCACCTCTGCTTCCTCTCGGTTTGGTCTGCAGCTGGGCCTGCGGGATTCACAAACGGAGTTAGGCTCCGAAGGAAATGGCAGCCCACTCCAGTATTCTCGCCTGGAGAATCTCATGGACGGAGGAGCCTGGTAGGCTCCAGTCCATGGGGTCAAGAAGAGTTGGACACAACTGAGCGACTTCACTTTCACTTCACTTAAGCTGGAGTCAGATGAGCTTAGCACGTGGATGAGGCAACACCTGGAAGGTGGGGCTATAAAGCCGTGAAGCTGATTTTCACATCTGACCCGTGGAGCTGGAATTGCTATGAAGCCCCCTGTTCATCAGGAGATAAACCCTGATACACAACAGCCCACTTACTCTGACAGAGTAGTAGTGTTAGTCGCTCAGTCGTGTCTGACTCTTTGCGACCCTGTGAACTGTAGCCCACCGAACTCCTCTGACTGTGGGATTCTCCAGGCAAGAATACTGGAGTGGGTTGCTATTCCCTTCTCCAGAGGGTCTTCTTGACCCAGGGACTGAATCTGGGTCTCTTGCTTTGTAGGCAGATTCTTTACCATCTGAGCTACAGGGAAGTACGTACTCCTGTAGGCCCCGTTAGAAGCAATTGGTATTGCCCTAATTGTGCAGGGTGGGAAGCTGACCTCAGGAAGGTAAGTCCTTCTCCTGAGGGCTCCAGCCTTGAAAGTTCAAGGTCACTTGAGCTCATCTGAGGTCCTGCTGCCCCCCGCACCCCCCGCCCCTGGGAATCGTATCAGGCTGTCATGGACCTGTTCTTCTGGAGGGTTGAGATTGTCATGTCGGTCCTTTGGGTGCTCCTTCGCTGACACTGTGACTTTTTTTTTCAGTAAGGCTTTCTGTTTCATCCAGTCATATTTTCTCTCTGGTCCCCCAAAACTCGGCCATGTGGAGGGACTCTCCCCTAAAGAGCAGAAGGGAGTGCCTGACGGCCAGGTCAGCCCTTGAGCAGAGTGGGCCTGTCCTTCCAGCTCAAAACCTGCAGCCTGGGCCGTGTCCACTGACCGTCCAGCTCAGCTCCGGCCTCCCTCCTTTCTTCCATAGAATCTCTGCAAACAAGGTTTGAAGATTTGCAAGACCCAGGCTGAACTTCAGAAAAGGACCCCGTGCCTGATCCATTCTTCATGGTGACATCATCTATCAACCATGTACCCTGCAGGGCTGCAACCCTGTACTAACTTTCGTTTCCACTTTGGAAGGTGTCCCTGAAGTGGTAACAATAATGTTAAAACCAGTAAGATTACTGCCTGTGCTGCTAATTTATAGTTACCAAGAATATGATATAGTCAGGGCACCAGGCTTGGCCCTTTGAAGGCGGGTACTATTATAACCTTCACCTTAGGATTTTGGGAAGACCAAAGCTCAGAGAGGCTCAGTAACTTGCCCAAGGCCACACAGCTGATAATTGATAGAGTTAAAATTTGAACCTAGGAATGTCTAATGCCAGAGGCTGTGCTTTTCACCACTATGTATTATTTTTGGAGGCTACATGCTTCTTGAATAGATAAAATATGAGTGTACTGAAATTGGTGAGGAGAGGGAAGATTAAAAGGTTTTGGCAGTGGGGTGTGGGGGGATCCTGTGCCCTTCGGCCTTGTAGGGGATGTGCGTGTGTGAGCGCGTGTGTTTACAAATGTGTTTGAGAAGGAGAACTTGACTGGACAACCTTAAGAGATTTAAACAATTAGCCGCCCTGTGCAGAGGAAAGTGGATCTAATGTAACTCCTGTGGAAAAGGGGCTGAGGCTCCTGCACGTTCAGCTTGTAATCGGCCTGCTAGGAAATGACAGTGATCACGGGAATCCTAAGACGTGGCGAGGGGCTGCCCATGACTGGTGCCCTCCTGACCACACCTGGGAGGGTCTGTGCTTAGCTCTGGCCCAGTGTTCCAGAGGGTCATAGACAGCCTGGAGGGCCCCTCGGGAGATCCTGAGGAGTGGGCATGATTGAAAGACCTGGGGACCTTGGCTGATGAGGTTCGAGGGGACACCTGATCACGCCCTTCCAAACACAGGAAGGCCTGACTGTATCCGGGGCTTGAGGGGCTGTGAAATGTCACCTCTCTGTCTCTGCCTCCATTAGGAACCAGTTGACGGGTAGACCCAGGAGCCAGGCAAATGGAGATCGCCTTTATTGCTGATAAAGCTGTTCAAGAAGGCGGTTTACATATGTGAAATAGATTGCCAGTCCAGCTTCGATGCATGAGACAGGGCACTCAGGGCCGGAGCACTGGGACGACCCTGACAGATGGGTGGGAGAGGGGCTCAGGATGGGGGACACATGTACACCCATGGCTGATTCATGTCAATGTGTGGCAAAAACCACTACAATACTGTAAAGCAATTAGCCTCCAATTAAAATAAATAAATCAATTTAAAAAAAAGGCGGTTTAGATCCTGTGAGCCAGGGGAGCTGGCGGAGACCTTAGCCCTGAACCTGATGCTGTCCCCAGGCACAGGTGTACGCAGATGTGGACGTCTTCCTACTTCTGTAAACCGGACAGTGCGGCTTCTCTACAGATGAATGACTCAAGAGAGGAAGGGGAGAGCTATGCAGGAGCTGACCTTTCTCCCAAATCCTCCAACTCGGAAAGTTGCTTTGCATTCCTGGGGAGAGGTGTGGCTGAAGGGAAGAGAGCCAAGAACACTGCTAGCGGGGAGCTCCCTCCGTAGCAAAAGAGGAGTGGGAAATACGAGCGCCCCTCCTAAGAGCAAAAGGGTTAGCCTGAAGCCATATAGGTCCATAGTGACAGCAGGTGGATAACACTGGGTGGGGGTTTCCCTGGTGGTCCCGTGGGCTGAGACTCTACCCTCCCGGTGCAGCAGGACTGGGTTCAATCCCTGGTCAGGGAATTAGATCCCACATGCTGCAATGAAGACTGAATATCACCTGTACTGCAACGAAGACCAGTAAAGTAAATAAACTATATTAAAAAAATAATAACATCGAGTGCTTCCTATGTGTCCATGCAGTAAAGAGCTGACTCAGCAGGTATGAGATGTTCAAACTTTGCATGTTTCAAAGTGAGATCTGGCTCCCTGATTGGCTCCTGGGAGATAACCTCTAAGCCCTTGTAATACTCTGCCTGATAAAAGTGTCTTTGTTTACCTGGGCCCTTGGGTCACACCAGATCGTTTATGCTAACAATATGATTTATGTTGGGGACCCTGGGCCAAGCTGTATCAGTCTGACCTCTAAAGAGGATAGAAATTAAGTAACTAAGGTCAGTGATGGAGGAGTTCTCCATGCCTAGAGATAAACACCCACAAAAACCCTGGACCACGAGACTCAGGTGAGATTCCCTGGTTGACGGCACTTCATACCTGTCATCACACATCACTGCTGGGGAGGTTAACCATTGTCTGTACAACTCCACTGGGAGAGGATAACTGGAAGCTGGTCTCTTCTGGACTCTCCCCTGTGCGCCTTTGACCTTTGCTGGTCTTAATCTGCAGCCTTTAGGTAGAATAAACCACGCTGCTGCTGCCGCTGCCGCTGCGTCGCTTCAGTCGTGTCTGGCTCTGCGACACTATGGACTGCAGCCCGCCAGGCTCCTCTGTCCATGGGATTCTCCAGGCAAGAATACTGGAGTGGGTTGCCACGCCCTCCTCCAGGGGATCTTCCCAGCCCGGGTCTCCTGCATTGCAAGAAGATTCTTTACCACTGAGCCAGCAGGGAAGCCCGTAATAAACCACAGTTAGGTGCAAAACAGCTTTTCTTAGCCTGTGAGTAGTTCTAGTGACTCACCGAACCTTAGGACAGTCTTGGGAACCTGTGCTGCCGTGTCAGATGCACTTGACATTTCATCTGTATTATCCTCACAATAACCTTGTGAGCTAGGCTCTCTTATCCCTGTGACAGATGAAGAAACTGAGGTGTGGAAAGGTGAAGTAACTTGCCTAGGAGGATGCAGCAAGACTTAGCATTCCCTCTTCTGACTACCACCCTCCACCAAAGGTCAGGAGACTGGAGTGAAGGACTGGAAGGTCCTGTGGGAGTGGCCCCATAGTCTTCTTGTTCTAAGGAGGTGAGTCATCCTGGAATAATGAGCAGGAGCGAAGGGCTAGAGGAAGAGATAAAAATTTGGTGGGTTTCCTGTCTTTGAGAGCTCAAGTGCAGATATGCCAGGTTGAGTTAGACCCTTGGGACACCTAGGGTGACTGACTAGTCCTGGTTTAACTGGGACCGTCTCCATTAGAGAACTGAAAATCTCACATGCCTGGAGCCCTCTCAATTTCTGGGCTAACTGGGATGGGTTGTCATCTGGCATTAGACATAAGCCACCTTGGGGTGATCCAGGTGAGGCTGTGGGTGGGGTGAGTCACAGCAGGCCAGGCAGGAACGAGCCCTGATTGTCTCTGCCAGGTGAGTGCATCTTTGCTCCCATTTTTAACCAGAGGCAGCAGGAGGGGCTTATCCTTGACTTCATTTCTCCTCCTGGCTCTCAGGTCCCT